CGTGATTCGTGGCTTGAGTTCTAGAGTCCTAGAGGCCTGAGCAGACCCTTATCGTTCTGGCCTCTGGACCTTCTTATCCACAGGTTTTTAGCAGGCTTGAGGCTTGGGGTCTGTCGGAGACGACCTTCTCACACTTGGACCCGTCCGCATCCGCGAAAGGCTTGGAATCATGGACGCTCTCAACTCCGAGCTGCCATGCAAGCTGCTCTCTCGCGCACCTGCTGACGAAAGCGGGGAAGGGCAGCATAAGACAGCATGCAGAGGTACACGGATTACCAGCCTTCACGTAGTGCCTGCCAGTTTGGAACACAATAGCTGACAGGACCAGGATCACCGCCAACCTTGCTGCTTCTGTTGCTGCGGCACCGCGACATGCAAGGATATGCCGCGCCAATCAAGCACCCGGCATGATGGAAGGCAGCTCTCTCGACCGGAACCCCCACCTGGAAAGCTCGTCTCATCCAGATTAAAAGCCTTGTGCATGCCTCCCAGATTGCGTTGAATGGAACGCTGCCCTCCCCAGGCCTGTTGCCAAGGACAGGGTCCTAAGCCGGCGAACTGTCAGCCTGACTGCCATAGATCACTGCAACATAGACACCTCCACGAGCATCGTGAAGATGTAACAGAGGGTCTGCACGATGGCTTTGAAAGACGTGGAATGCCTGGGACTGGTGGGGTGCAGCTCAGAAGATTTCAGATAGCAGTGGTCTGTCGGATCCGGTCATGTGATGCAAAGACATATCTGCTGGGCGAGTCCCCGACTCCTTGGTGATCAACCCTGCTGACCATCCTGTTATCGCCACCAAGATTTCAGATGCGGCACACATGAGTGCATCGTATGCTCGGGGTACGAGCATGACATGCAAGTCAACGAGGCGAAGCATCGCAAAGCGACAGCGTGCTGCCTTGGATGACATCCACCATGATCATCAGCCCGTGCCAGACGGTCCTCGCACAGATGCGAGCTGCTACAGTAGAAATGGCAGGCATAGACTCTAGAGAATCCACTGGTCTCTTGAGGTTGTTGAGGCAGATCTGATTCCATCGGGCATGGAGTCGTGTTCTTGCTGCTGCTCTTGCTGCCGCAACCACCGCCAATGCTAATTGGTTCTTCTCCTTCTTCTTGTCATGCGTGTCATAATTTGTTGTTATCGTTATTATTAGTAGTCTTCTCCCCTTCTTCTTAATCCTATTCTATTTGTTGTCATTGCTACCATGTTGTTCTTGCTCGTATTTTCATTCGCCATCTTGTCTTATATCCTTCTTGCTCCTCGGGCGGGCTTGAAGAAGGCACGTTGACGTAGACCAATACGATACGTCAGAACAGGTCTCTTACGCAACTGTTGCAAGTCTCATGCGAACTCCCCGTCCAGCTTCCAAACCACTCGGGTGTACTCGCCCATTTCGTAAACCAGTCCGAGAAGGCATCCTCTCGCCCTGTCATGCCAGAGCAGGTTGCAGGAGATTTTCAGATCTATGCACCCACTCGCACACACACGCACACACACACACACGGAGTGGCCTATGAGAACGTGGCTAATGCCCCACAGGATGAGTGAAAGGAAAAGGGCGGTGACGTCGATGTGCACCTGACTCCATGGACTTTGGCTTAGCCTTCGCCGGACACCGAAACATCGCCTTCATGATGTAGAAACGGCCCTGCCACCAGGTCAGCCCGCGCCTTTCTGGTGGTCTGCCACACAAACTCAAGCATGCACTCACGGCCAATCCGAGCTCAGGTCGATTTGTGCTTGTAGATTCTCTCTGCAAAAATGGAACCTGCACAGAGCCGCTGGAAACATTGGAGAGCTGCAAGCTCGAGCCATCTCGAGCCAGCAGCAGCCTGTTGCGCTCAGGATGACTGCACAGACCTCGGTCAGGGGCGAATCTGCCACAAAATCACAACGTGCTTGCCGACACTCGCCGGATCCCCGCAGCCAACACAGGCCAACACTACAATAAGTTTGATCACTGGCTTCCGTTCTCCTTGAACTGCTGTCCCTCAGCATGAGCCATGAGCCCAAGGTGCAGACTAGCAAAGAGAAGCCGGCGGGAGTGAAAGACTTCTTCAGCCTGATGAAAAGGAAATTAGGCGGCTGCAGACAAGTCCGACTTCCCCACCCCTCCTGTCAAGAGGGTGGCCATCCCCTTCTCCCTCTCCCTCCTCCAGGTCTCGGTACCTCAGAATGTATCGAAGCTGAGACGCTGCACTGCTCGCTCAGACGCGCAGACTTTCGCACACCCATCAGCTTCGGCAACATTTGCTGGGATGCTGGGGTGTCGGCTGCTCTCGCAGCATGACAAAGGTGAGAACTGCCATGGTCATCATGCCGAGGGTGAGCCTCGACAAGCTCGCAGTACTCGGCGCATGCTCTGCAGCAATATCACATATACTGTATGGCATACGCATTCGCCCGGTGCGCTAGAACACTGGGGCTGAAGCCACTCCAGCTTGCCGTAATTACCTGCATTCATTATGCTGATGCTCTGTCTCGTGGTCGAATCTGCCAAAACACTCATCTGCCATCCAGCAACGGCTGAAGACGTAGTAGCTCATGATGACGGCAAAGGGAAGATACAAGTATCCCACCTGGGTCCAGCAGCTACTTCGGCCGCATGAGGCAAAGGACTACGTCTCAGAGGGAGGCACGGTCACTATCTGAACATTGGAGGTACCAGCCCATCGAGAGAGTGCCACCAATGCACTGGCCTTTTCACATTTTGTGCGCTCACTGTATACTCCCTGCACAACTGCAAGCAAACAGCGACTCAGGCACTGGCACAGGTGAACAAGAAGGACACACCCGTGAATCGCCATAGCGCTTTTCCAGAGAAGATTTTCTGGTATGCATGGCAGCCTCACAGCACCGGAGGCGGCATTCCGCAGGTCCGTGCACTGCTCAACACCATTTGATTCCTGCGTGCCTTCAATTGTGAAGGATACCGTGAGAGAGGACAGCAGTGATGCTGCGTTGGTGACTACCTGGTAGGAGAAGTAGTTGATACCTCAAGAATCGAGTTGTTTCGATTCCCGGCCACAAGTGAAGAACAGAAGGCTTCCCAATGCATCGATGGAAAGGTGTGATTTAGTGTGGCACTCTCTGTGTAAACGACTTCACCCAGGACGAATTTGCCGGAGCCTGGCCGAGAGTCTTGAACATCCTTGACCTGCCCTTGAACTTCTTGTGCTGCAGAGCTGGGCCCCGAACAGCTAAGCACAAAAACTGTGAGAAGGCAGACCTGAAGAAGATTTCAGCCCCCAAGGCTCTGAGAAGAAACAGCCAGCCCCAAGAGGAAGTCACAGGCGCTGACACTCTGGCCAAGAGACCATCTGGAGCTGAGCCATTGGTCAAAATACTGACCTTGGAAATCGCTTGCATGGGCACGAGGGGTGCGACCAACACAACCCAAGGCTCGCGGCTTTTCTTTCGAAGTCCAGGGCAGCAGTTTTGCCTTAGAGACAGTTTTAAGAGCAGGGCTTCTGGCGGCAGGTGGGCCGAGCGGCAGCTTCTTCATTGTTTTGGAATGCACAATCTGCGGACGGGACTGGGGCATGTGAACCCCAACTTCTCGTTGTTTCGCGGTGCCTGGGGGTTGTCCGCCACATCATCCGGGACGGCGTCAGCCATGGCAGCCGTACAATGCAGGACTGGGGCTAAGTGATGACAAAAATCCTTGCCGATGATGTCTGGGGAAGACACTTTGAGAGTGCTTGCCGTGAGTGATCTACAGCATAGCATGAGTATTCCACCCGAAAACGACGAGATTCAAGCCAATTGCTAGCAGCTCGAGCACAACAGATCACAAGGCATTGAGTCAGTCTCATGTCCGAATTCAGGATCCTGGAGTAGCGACGTGTGCACCAATCGACTTTTGCATGCGACGCTCAGCTAATCCATGGTCGCAATGTGCATGAGGCTGCATCGTTGACCAAATGTTCCCGAACAAATCATCAACATCCTACATAGGATCTTGCATCTCTACAAATACAGTCACGTCATACCCTGGTTGGACAGATACGGCCAAAGGCTGTTGCGGCAAGGTTGGGCCACTTCTGAGCTTTAGCTTGAGCTGACAGGTACATCGTGCAGTAAAGTTGGGCCCAACCTCCCTCCCCCAGTTGGGGCAGTTGGAAGTGACACCACTCCGAAATTTGCGATCAGGAGCAACAATTTCAGATCACCGCGGTCACCACACCCAAGCGACTGACAGGCAAAATCATTGATAAAACAGGACAGCTCACACTGCGCACATGAGTGTTTACCTGATTCTCCCAACTGCAAACAGAAGAACCTTACCTGTCCAACTACCACCTGCAAGAGCTGTTTGTCGGAAGGACCAACTGATGTCAGCTTGCGAGATACGAGAAAGGTTTTGTTTTGGCGCCATCCCAGCGCCGCAATCATCACCATTGTCATCATCATCGTCGTCGAAGCAATCATGTTTAAAATTACCAAGCTCGGGGGTCAAATCTTAGTCATGATCACGACCATGATTTGCGGCAACCTTTGGTGGCATGTGACGGGCGAGGCAATTACCTGTGTAGAGGGTGGCTGGAGATGCAGTCGGCTGCGGCTCCACGCCACGCCTTACGCTCAAGGCTTTGCGCGGCTACCTACGACGGCGGAGCTCTCGCCACAACCCCAAGAGCCCCCTCCCGTTCGCGCTCGAATGAATCATTGAATGGAGTGGAGGGGAGGGGAGGGTCTTCCGAAACGGAATTGGTTTGGGGGCTTGACAAGTACGGAGAATGCCGGCAAAACCGCTCAGGACTCTAAGCTCTGTCAAAGCGAGGGCAGGCTGCAGGCGCTTTCAGATCTCGAGGATTCCAGTCCGGCTTATCGTGGAGGTCGCTGGCGTTCTTCTGTGGACTTTTGGATGTACTGGGCCTGTTGCCGCCTACGACACGGCTTTGTTGACGGATCGGCACGATTCAGGGCGAGCCAGTGTGAGTCTGGGTAGGAGACCAACCCGAGACCACAGCCATCTGCCTTTACAGACTAGCTTGGCAAATGGCCTAGCGCCAGAGCGCCAGCGAGACTGCCAGCAATGCGCACTGCTGAGCTGCAGGCAACCTGAGCCACGAGCAACGTCGGCATGCCAGTGTGGCACTTCGCACTTCGGAATCAAGCTGCTGTTGCGGTAATTAATTGTTTCCTAGCTTACACAAGTTCATCATGGTACCAGAAAGAGGCAGGTCTTGGGCCGTCACGTCGCACGATGGAACGGTGTAGTGGGCATGATCGCCTCAGCTCAGCATCGGAGTCCACCCATTTCACCAGGCAGATGAAGGTTCAATCAAGACACACATGGGTTTCCACATAGGGAGTGCTTCTGGGGCCTGGTGCGACAAGCAGTACCTGCCATGTGTCAACAACAGCATGCGTGGTGATGCTTCACCTCTCTGCCAGTAGCGACGAAGGCTCGGGGCATGTTAATCCAGCAACAATGATCGAAGCAGGGAGTAACGGGAGTGCAAGCAGCTAACCACATGCTGCATGGAAGAAGACTGCTGCCCCTGCAGACACGAAATGCTGACCGTTAATCAAAAAGGCTCGGCTATTCGTCGATGCCTGATTGGCCCGTAAAAATGTCGTCAGGCGCACGACACGACCTTGAGCGTGTCGCAAGCCATCATTGCTTGCATAGGATGGACATGGCGGTCCTTGCGCTCTTACTAACAATTACAAACCCCTTCAGAGGCGTAAACCGTGCCACCAGAATCTGTTTCTTCCATCTGCGCGTTTAACATGTCAAAGGCATCCCATCCTCCTGAGCAGTAGTCAAACCCCAATGTAATACAGCCTTGCGCGGGGGCAAGAAGCACCCGCAAATTGAACCCCGTTCCATGTCCTGCATGTGGCCGGAGCGCAGAACGAAACCATCTTCGTGGCTGCAAGTGTCGATCACGTACATCGAAGAGGCGAACTGAACAGTCACGCATCTTTAAAGTTGATGGAAAGCGATCAACCCTGCAGCAACGGCACAACGACTGCAAGACCGGCAGCTGGCATAAGATACAGCAATGCAGACGACATTCACAGAAGTTGGATGGTAGCGCCTGGTACCAGCTAGCAATGTTTGAGTTCTGAACCTCAGCTCCGAAACAGCAACAGGTTTTGCATCAACTGCCTGCGACTTGAAAGTTCTTCGCTTCAGAGCTGCCGTAAACGTTCGTCAGAGCATGCTTTTTGTGGCATGCTGAAGCCCCCGGCACAGCTGCAGAACGCCGTTTGCCAACCATCCTTCTTTCTGGGCACTACCTCGGCAACTGGGCTATTGCCAAGATTGCAAACGCCAATGACGCGAAGCTGAAGCCTTGGAACCGGAACCGGGCCGCTGACAACCTCGTCCTTGAGCCAGGCGGACACCCCCTCAAGCAGAATTGCGTCTGCGAGGGTGCCATGACATTGCGAGACCATTTTGGAGACAAAACTTATCAAAGCCTCGAAGTAGCTCCGGAAGCTGCGAAGCAAAGCACTAAACCGCCGCCTTGGCAGCTGTGTCAAAGGGCTCATCGGGGACGTTTGGGTCGTACTCGTAGTCGTCCATCACCTGCCCATTTCGAACTGCCGATACTTGATGCGAAAATGCCAACACGGAAAGCTTCTCGTGCCTGAGCATTGGTGGAGAAAAAAAGGCCGCAGACAACAGCCTAGCCATGTCGACTGAAGACTCTGGGAATTGTTCGGCCCCCAACGCTGTCTGGCAGATGCCGACTTCCAAATACTCGTAGCAATGCAACCATCGTGCTCGGATAGTGCTTGCAATCCCGATTCTACTGCAATTTTGTGACATCTGAGTGCAGCGCTGCAGTTCTGAAAAACATCTGATGCCTGGAAGTGCAGGCTTGGACATAGAAGCATAAGACGAACAGGCAGGGAGGGCTCTGGATGCTCTCGGTCTCTCAGCAGCTGACCCCGAGACTTTGTCAGGTGGCCGGAGCCGGAGCAGGCCGAGGGCACATCAAGGCTTCCGCGCCGGGACCAACCCCTTTGAGCAAACGGTATACAGTATACACCCATAGGCCCACAGGCCCGGTCCAAAGATTTCGTCAATTCGTTTAGAAACGAGGCCGAGAGTGTCGGCCGCGAAGGCTTCTTTTCCCCTCTCGGGTCGCAACCACAAGGCTCCGTGAGACAAAGCGTGTGAGACCGAGTACAGGAAAGCTGAGAAGCTTGCTTAGCTTCGGCGAACTCTGCACCCAACTGTGCACCGCACCACTGCGTAGCCTTCGGGGAAACGTCATTCCTGATCTTCTACAGCTGCAGCCTCCTGACAAAATCGTCATGAGTCGTCCTCACAATGTAGTACTACCAGAGCTTACTTGCAGAATTTGGCAGTCCTTGGCTTGTCGCCTCTGCTCCTCGTGGACCCTGGCTTCGTGCATGACCTCAAAGAGTGCGAAGAGTGAGGTCGCAGCTAGATAAGTCGAAGCCCAAGCCCAAGTACATCGATGCACTGTTCCGACCCATCGCTTGGAACTGTCTCAACACCCGCCCAGCGCGAGGCCAGGGCCCGAAGCCCAAGAAGCTGCCGCCTCAGGCAGAGCAAATCCAAACGAACACACAAAAAGCATCGGAAGAGGTCTCACGTGGCTTGAGACTCGTCTATCAGACGCTTCTGCGATACACCTTTGATTGAATCAGAGGCTGATTGTTTGCATCTGTTTTGGACCTTCTAAGCCTTGGGCTGTGCATGGGAAGCCAGGTTGCCCTGCTCGTAGGCCGAGCGCGCCTGCGGGCCAAGCCAAAACCGGCAACGTCGAACCTCGCAGCCTCTCACATCACGATCTGCCTCGTGCCCGGACAGGACATGGAATGCCTTTCAGCGACAGGAACCCGACTCTAAGCTACACCAAGCTCGAATGTTGCATCGCTTCACCACCGAGCCTCCATCACCAAGTCCCAGTCCACTTGGTCGCTGGAGTTCTCTAGCTCCTCTCGCGTCCCGTGTCAGCTTTTAGCCAGCAGCCCCAGAGTTGCAATCACAATGGAGCACAACGAATGATGGTTTTCTGCTTGGCACCCTTCCGTACCACTCACAAGATAGAAGAACAAGGTAGAGCGTCCTCGGAGAGCGAGCCGTTTGGCTCTCGACGTTTGTACTGCACCCGCTTCTCAAAGAATGCCTGCAAGAATCTGCAGAACAAGTGGTCACGCAACAGAACACAACCCTCCTTCCAGAGGTCGTCTTTGGTCAGGTTTCGGAAGTTGGCCTCCTGCAAAAGCTCGCCACGTGTTGCTGTCGGCTCAGTGGGGATTGGGTGGTCGTCTAAGGTATAAAAGACCTGCCCCTCTTCGCCCTCTTCTGCCCCGTTTAGCCAGCAGACTTACGCCGTTTTTGGTCGCACGGCAACGGGATGCACGTTGTCAGCAGTTGCAGAAGCTGGGTATTCCACTGGAGCTTCTGCCCTGATACACGCCTTGTCACGAAACCACACGCTCTGCGTCATCTGCAGATCTTCTTTCAACCAGACCATGAAGAAAGAGTCGAGGTGAGGACGGCAATGGTCTGCCGCCCATCCAGAATCAGAAGCGTCCCGGAAGCCCAAACAGTCTGGCAATTAGCGGCTTAGCGGTCTGGCCGGCGAGCCTTCAGCATGCGGTTCCAGATCAAGCCCCAAAATGTGCCAGAGTTCACAGCGCCTTCGTAGCGCCAGCCCAGATGGGTCTGGCAATGGCGGCATACGCCCATGCGCCACGCATACCCTTCGAACCAGGAGTCTGTGTCGTAGGCCTCACCGACTGCTTTCACTCCAGCCGCCCTTGAAAACTCGCCGATATGGAACAGGTATCCGTGCGGGTTGAAGTGCCTGGAGCTGCCTGTGCAAAATCTCAAAGCTGCCACCGTGGAACGACACCGCTTACAAAGCAGAAGAACGTTGCCATCGTAGCTTTGGGAAATCTGCTCTTCAAGGCTTGCCCTTGCTGCCTCTACTTCAGATAGTCGCGTTGTAACCGTGTTTCCCTGCACCACTTGCAAAGGAGCATCTCGTACCAGCAGATTCGTTGCCTGGGCTGCGCCACGGAAACAGAATTGTAAAGCAGTTCTGCAGGTATACTTGTTTCTTCCGAAGGCTGTAGCCTGTCTTTACACAACGTGCAGACTTGAAAGCACGTCCAGCCGCAATCTCCCACTGTTTCTTCATGTGAGCGGCTGACTAAACCTATGGTTCGACGTAAAGCCCGCGAGAACTCAGGTCGGCCCCTATCGGTTATGCAGGGATCAGCTAGAATATGCCAGAAGACTTACCCCTATCGGTTATGCAGGGATCAGCTAACCAAACATAGGTCGGCCCCAATCGGTTTTCATGCTAAACCTACTTTTCCACAATCTCGTGTCCACTCTAGTACTGATTACCTCTTCCGGAGGTTTAGTCCGATGCTCATGTCAGCAGCACTAAGGCCAACACCACATCTGCATCTTCACTCCAGGCTCTCCGCCTGCAGAAACATGGAAACAGCTGTGCAGACGTTCTCCACTCTATGCTACCCACAGGTATCGGTCCGTGCGCTCCGCGAGGAAGCGGAGTCGACTGCAACGGAACAGGCTGCTACTGCTGCACGATGCTGCACGTATGCGGCACGTATAACGTTTAATGATTGGCTGTACTCCAAACCGATTTTGCTGCCGGCGGCAATGGAAAGCAAGCTTTGTGCTTCTTCTCGAAACCTTTGCCTTTACAGCCTGGAAGGCGCAGGCACGACGTGGCACAAGCTGTCGGGAGACAATTCATGCAACGTGCTTGTTCCGATTTGAGCCATGGCATGTTGCAGCTCTGAAGTGAGCATCTGCAAGAGGGCTACGATGCCATCTTCTTCGTGGCACGCGGCGGCCCAGTAATACGGACGGCCGATCCCGACAGCGGTGGCTCCAAGACACAAGGCCTTCAAAGCATCTCGGCCACTCCGAACACCACTGTCGAAGTAAAGCTCGATCTTCCCCAGCACGCCCGCAGCACGCAGAGCCGAAGCTACGTCTTCCAGGCAGTGCAAGGCTGCCATCCTCGGAGTCTGGGGGCTAAACTTTGAAGATGGCTCAGAGACATGAAGTGAAATGAGGGGCAGAGGGGCAGAGGAACTCAGAAACTCCGTCTGTTTAGGTTCTGGCTGCCATTCCGGAGACGGGATCAAGCTGCCCTTAGGCTCCGGTCAGGTGCTTTGCGACTCAAAGTTGTCTGTCGGGCGTCGAATCTCCACACACTCGACCTCCATGGTTCGAAACGATGATGCCTGCCACGTCTGCCGCTACAGCTTTCAAAGCATCCTCCGCCGTCTGGACTCCCTTCAAATACATCGGCATCCCTCTTGGCAGCATTGCCTTGAGCTCGGCCAGTCGAGACCAAGACAGCCTCGGGCTCGGAAAGACCCCCGTCGCACCAGCCGTTGCACGGAAAAGTGCACCCTTTCGTGGAGCATTGGCATCAACTGTAACAACGATGGCAGATGCACCGAGGGCAATCGCTTCGTGCAGCCGCTCTATACTGGAAACTTCGTCTCCCAGAAGGTAAAACTGGAAAGCCAGATCGCAACTTTCGGATGCGGCCCATACATCACGAAGGGGAACACTTGATATGGACGGAACGATGAACCTAGACTCAGACAGGGCATGGCAACACAATAAACATGCAAGCTCCATCAAGTTTTCTAGTACAATCAGAAGCCGGGCAACCTCGTCCGACACCTGGCCGCAGCACGGACGAAGGTAGCCTCCCCACCCTTGGAAACCAAGCACCCCTTGGCAAGTGAGCTGAGATAGATCGGAGTTGCACAGCGCTTTCCGAAGATACTGCAGTCAGTACCTCAGGAGAGCAACAGAAGCATAGATCTGTCAGCCCACAAATGATCTCTCGACTTGTTCATAGTGCCGGTGCCAGGTCGCTGATGCAAGAGACATCTTGCAGAATCCGCGGCCGCAGCGCAAAAGACTTGAAAGCATCCAGGTTGCGCTGCATGGTGTCGCTCTCCCCTCGTCAGGCAAGGAATCAGTAAAGATCCACATGCATTGGCCGAAGGGGCCAAGATTTCATGCAAGTGGGCGACCCCGATACCAGTACACGTGCAGCAAACCCAAACGACATCAGCTCATCCACAAGGTCCAGGTGTTTGCTCGGTTATAGGCTTAGTTGCCCGCTCAAGTTACCCGCATGTCCGCCTCCGGCTATATAGTCCCAGCTGGATTCAGTGAGGCTCCTCTTTGCCTCCTCCTCCTTGGGCATTTGCATCTTCCCAAGTTGGTACATGCTTTGGGAATGGGTTTAGGAATGTGGTATCACATGGCAACACAGGTTGGGGTACCGATTCAGATTCTGCCAAGTAATCCACAGCAAGGCTCATATTCGGAGCAGCTTTCGAAGTCAGTCAGAGCTCTTGTCTGCAGATGCTGCGACGACATTGCGCCCTGCTGACCAGGGCTATGTCGAGTTTGTGGCGACATGAACGAGGCTTGGCTCGTGGAGGGCAAAAAGGTCAGGCATGCTGCATGCGTCGCCATGAATGAGGTGATTCGAAATGTCGCCACGGATCATGGAACGTGCTGCTTGCATGTGCTCCGCATATGTTCTTCAGACGAGGATGGCAAGCCCTTGTAAAGTTCAGGAGACTGTAGGCAACCTTTGAGGCAACTGGACAGTCCTAACCAAACGGACACCCAGCTAAGCAAAATGCCGTCTGCTTACAGATGCATCTCGAACCACCTCCAGGTCGAGGACCAACAATGCAGAAGCCCATGTCCGCGAAGCAACGGGCCTGGCAAGCCAACTGGAACGGCCCCTGCGTGCCGTCGAGTCCTTCCAAAAATGTCTGAGGCCCCGACACAAACAGGCACAGATCCAGGCCGACAGAAGTTGAGCCTTCAGAACTGGAGACTGAAAACAAGATAGCAACATGTACGGGCGAAAACAGTCTCTGCACCTTCAGGAAGCGTGGAGGCTGGCGGATGGTTTTGCAGCGACTGCTTCCTCAAAGACGCAACCCAACCGGATTTTAGGAGTTGAGGATTCGTGGGAAGAGTCTGCTGGGCCTGAAGAGTGCGGCCAACCATGAGCTGGCGACACTTGCAGGGCTAGCATAATCTCTTTATTTTCTGCATCTCTGAACCAAATGCAGGTGAAGAGAGATGTGTGTGCTGACACGGCTGTTGACTGCTCACCTGCTCATGATGCTCGTGGCTGCACCATGCATGTCCCAGGCCACGTCACGATCAATCCAACTGGGATGATGAGAGAAAGTGTCCTCCAAGCCCAAAATGGAATGGTAGGGCGGCTGCACTCGTGCCTGCCGCCTACACGTCGGGGCAGAACAAGTGCCCAGGCACGTGCGAGGCACATCGGAGCTGCGGCACCTCGTCTTGGAATAGAAATATCTCTGCCGAGTCGAAGGCATCACGCAAACCTGTCAGAAGCATTGGGTTTAGGGCTTCTGGACGGCGTGCCCAATGTGCGAGGGCGCCTGCCAATCCAAGGCCTCAAGAATCTTGGAGGCCTCGGTCTAGCAATTGGGCTTTGCGAATACCTCGTCTTTTTCCGGGCGCCAAACTGCCTCGGGTGGAAGTGGAGCATCCACCTGCACTGGCTGCAAACCGCCTTCTACAAGTACTGCACACTATCTTGTACTACATCGGCTCAGGGATCTCTCAGCACAACCCGGCCTCTCGTTCCTCTTCATCGTCAGTTGGATCCTCTCAGACATGCTTAACCAAGCCTTCATCTGACACCTCATCAGAACCCTCTTTCGTGCCCAGCCTCGACAGTCTCCGGCGCAGCTGGCTGCCCCTTCTTGCCCATGTGGAGCCTGCCTCGGGCACTGGTAGCAGACAGAAGCAAGGTCCATAACGGACGCGTCGCACTGTAACGCAAGCAAGACAAATGCAACACCAGAGCCACAGCTATGATACTTGATTGCTACAACGGTCGAAACAGTCGTTGTGTCAGAAATATGCTCTCACAGACAAGCTGCGCGCCTGAAGCTCAGCTATCTTGGCTCCACTGCTTCTCAGGACTCTTAACTTGACTGTCGGGCCGATGTCATCCGGTTCAGTTGTCCACAATGTCATGTGCTCAGCTATATGTGCACACTACAGCAGCACCAGCTCCATGCTTCGTGCGTGGCAGCAAGCACTTGCACAGACAGCTTTTCATGTCGGGTTGTACAGGCACCACTGACTCATCCAGTCCTGCGCTGCCATTGGTTTGGGATTTCTTAGACATAGTTCGATGATGTACGATGCTTCTAGGCTCAGCGTCACTCCACCCCAACATGGTGCTTCCGAAAGATGTCATTTCTTTGCAGTCCTTCGTCACGGTGGATGCACACATGTGCACTGCTCCGGGTCGCATGGATCCGATGTAGCGAAAGTTGCAAGACTTGCTCATCCTCGCAAATTGGGGCTTGCAGGCTTCACTCGAGCAGTTCAGGGATCCAAAAACATCAAAAAAATAGTGCTTTCGTCCTGCCCTTTCCTTGTGCCTTCTAGCAAAGACCGCTTCAGGGCTGAGAGCCACGCTCGCTTCAAAACCCGTCCTTGCCTCGACGGCTTCGCTTCAACGCTTAGCATCGCGCAGTGCACCCATGGGTGCATCGAAGTCGGGTTTGAGGTGTCTGACATGTGTTTTGCTTGGGTGCTTTGTCTTCCGTGCTGTGGGTCTTGATCCTTTCTGAGTTCAAGCATCGGAATTAATTATTGTTGTAATTGCTTCCGTTCCCGGACCATGCGATAGCTTTACATATTTAATCCCTCGTGCTCCGCCTTGGAAGGATAGGTCCACGCAAACGACCAAGCCGACTGGGGACTAGGCTTGGTACCTCAAAACTGCCGCTGATCTGCGCAAAACCAATGTACTGGCCGCACATCCCTGTAATCATGGCCTTCACCGCCAAAAAAGATGAGATAAGGGGCCCAGATCCACAACCGGTCCAGCTTTCTTTTTGTTTTCGCCTCGCACTTCCGAGCCCGCGACTCCATCGCCTTAGCTGCTCTCTTCATGCTCTCAGTTTTCCCAGCGACAAAGACATGCCATCGTCGAAAGACATCCGGGAGCCCGGCTCCACGGTTGCGGTGAGGCGCGAAGGCTCAGGGAGAGCGGTGAGACAGACTTGGCCCTAAGCAGACGTTGCACGCGCAGAGCGTTGCACCCAGCCACTGAGCTGGCAGGTTTCTTTTGAAAGCCCGCGCAGCATTGAGGACGACCGACAGACGAAAAACTGAACTAATGGCTGCATGATTTCATGTGGAGGGGTGTGCCTCATCAGACTGGGTCTGCTTGATGTGAGACTTGGTGATACCGTCTTTGCTTCCACCGCACCGACAAGGACATCTCCCTAGCGCAAGCAGCATGGTAGCTCATTGAACCCCAAGCCTAAGGCTGCAAAACTTGCAAGTTCGGCAGCGGTGCTGGGAACGGTGAAACCCAAAGGGTCGCTCGAAGCAACAAGGCGAACAGCCGGGCGGAGAACGCATTGCTGATCAGTGGTGCTTTTCAATACTTCATTTCAGAATTCATCGCGCTCCGCCAAGCCCATCTCAGGGGCAAGGCTACAAACCTTACAGGCAAGCCGTGCGACACACTGCAAACCCGGCAGACGAAAGCCCTGATTCAGGTTCATGGTTCTCACCTGACCTGAGTCACCGTGACAACCAACGCTGCTTTAAGATAGACTTCTGGGCAACCTTGTTGTAGCTTCGTTTGAAGGCAGATCGTCATCGTACCGGTCACGATCGAAACAGGCGGTGTTGCGGCAGCTGCAATCGCAGTTGCAGCTACAGTTGCCGTCGCAGTAGTCGGGTTTAGCATTGAAGGTCTTACAAGTGTGGCTTAGCGGTTTGCGCGGTCGGGAATTAGGCTGTCCTCATTTCGTCTGCTTGGTTTTTTGTTTCTGCCCTCCTTGCATCGTGCATGCCATGACGGTGGCGGTGGTGGTCTTCGTGCAGCGGCGATGTCGTGGTGAAATTGCTGGCGGTCTTCCATGCATGCAACCCTTCCAAAGAGGCTCAACATAATCCGCCACGAAGATATGGTAGGCTAACATGCACTGTTGATGAAACAACCAGGTACTTCGGGGCCTTTCACCAAGTCTTGATCTGCAGGGAGGCCCCAGATGTCAGACCGAAAAAGGGCGAGGGGAATGTTGGAGCAAATGGATCGAAACTGCCTGCCTAGTAGTCGATTGATCCAGCGCCAGAACCCCTGAGCGGAAGAGTCAAGAACAATCGGGCCAGAATCGATGGTCCAGGCAAGATCATAGCAAGTCAATACACCTTGAACACATGACTCACATGACCCAAAAACTGCATAGAAGGGAACCTGGAAGACAACGAATCTAAGGACATAGGCGCCTCATGCTAGATTCCAACTGCAGGATCACGCCCTTCTGTCGCAGGACTAGAGCGATACTTAATCACTATCGAAGCCACACCATCAAACCTGAGTGCGATGCGACTTGCAAGGTCGCACACCTATAGCGCAAAACGCTAAGTCGCACACTCTCGTATCAATTTGTGGCCAGCAGCAGCCCACCCAACCAACACCCCCCGCCTTCCCGAAATCTCCCCCAACTCCAGTTTACTACGGTTCGACCTCACCGCTCTCTGCCCAGTCGGGCAAGCTACTACATTTCACAGTGTTAGCCTGATGCTAAGGACATCCACTCCAGCCTCGGCGGCGCATTTACAGAGCGGATATTGAACTTGGCCTGTGCGGAGCGAGGCTGCGGCGCTGTACACCCGCTCGCTCGGGCAACCCTGTCTGGCCTTCCAAAAAGGCGAGTCACTGGAGATCTTCTCCTGCGACAACTGGGTCTGACAAAGAATCCCTGTTGTTCACGCAGGTTGCGATGGACAATACAAAGAGTCGTGCTTCTCCTTGGTCTGCTTCTCCATCGTTAACCGGAGATCTTCCAAGTCGTTCTCCTGATCCAGAACCATGCATGCCATGTCTCGGTCTCGCAACGATGGAGGCTTCAGCTGCCAAACGCGTCGCAATCATCACACCCTCAATGCTAACCAAAAAAAGAGGCTGAAATCGCAAGCCAGATGCTAGTATCTTAGTCCGAAGTGGCAGGGTCCAGGTGTGGCCTTCTTGATGGTTGCCTTGATGGCATCGCATCTATCGTAGATTTCTTTGATCTGCTGCTCGTACATGTCCTGAAACTGCACAGTTTCCGGGAATTCACCAACTTCACTAGCGACATATTCCGGCAAATCAAGGTCACATGCAGACGACAACCCAGTTCTTGCGTTTCGCAAGAACCGACCAAAAAGGACCGTATCCTTCTGCTGTTGTAGTTCCAGCAACTGCTTCATGCAAGAATCCACCTGATCAGGTCCGATTTCAATATGTTCTCTGGCCAAAGCAGTTTGCAGGCCTCCTTTTTCATCAAGTCCCTTGTTTTCTGAGCACAGTTGACTGGCAAAGTCGCCTGAGAGAAGGGCGCACGACCCCCGCCCCCCCGGGCACTCTCTACACTTCAGTCCCAACCTGGCGGTGCTCTGCGGTCAGTAGGGCTTTATACGTGTTTCTCCACCTTGGACAGGACTTCATCGCGGCTTGGCGGCAAATTGACAAGTTCAAAAAGAGCTGGGGACCAGGCGTATAGTCAATGATCTGCTGATCATAGTGCAACCGTATGAGCTTTTGCGACATCAAGGCGCACTCCTGCACCAGGAACTCAATTGCGTGTTCAATGTGATTGTATGGCGGTTCGTCTTACAAGAAAGCACCATCCTTGATATACCGAGGATCATCTATATCGATCATACCTGCGCATTCTCAAGCCGAGACAGGCACGTCGTGCTGCAATTGCAAGACTTAAGGACGTGAAGTTCCACCACAATATCAGCTGTGTGACTAAGTACTGCCGAGCTTCTGTATCCATACTTCTCCTTGCCGAACATCTTCGGCAGTGGCCAGTTGATCTGACTATAGTCCTCCATGAACGCTAGGGCACAAGAAAAAGCAACAAACACACGAAGCTAGTTGTGCCACCTGCAAGACGTTTCGGTGCTCATGCACCGGACGAACTGCACAGGTCTTACAAGGAAGCTGCTTGCCTCTGCCAGCCAACCATGAAGGTTGCCTGTGCTGCTCGGCAGCTTCCTAACGAGCTGAGGCGACCAAGCAAGATGAACAAACATCTGAACTCTGGCAAAATGAGCAAAAAAACGGGTCCTAAATTTTGTCAGGTTGGTAACGTTGAGATACTTTGGAAGCTTCGGCATCTCTATGTCCTGACAGACAACGGTGCGACACAGACATGAAAGCAAGAAAAAATGCACAAACAAACTGAGCTGTGCTCTGCTGCCATCGGGCTTGTGATGGTAGCCTGGAGGGGTAAGCGCTTGAAGTGCTCACGAACTAGCGCGCTGCCATGTGCTGCCTGTCCAGACTTCTGCAACGTCCCACTGCTGAAACTCTTCTTCATTGTGCCGGTGCTCCTCAGCTCGACAGTGCTTCAGGCTAGAAGCTCGCTCGCCCTCCACTGAGAGTGCAGCTGCGGCGACAGAGCCTGTGGCGACATAGCCGCCTTACTGGGAAGCTGAAGTGAGCAGCTAGGGTGCGCATGCGAACGAACACAACTCATGCAAAGGAGCCTGCAGCTTCGGCTTCGAAAAACCTAGCAGCTCTACCTTCACTCTCTTCCAAGCCGAACAGCAGCGGTCCGAAACATCAGAGCTATGCCATGCTATACCGAATTCAAGAAGTAGACTTGTGCACCTAGACCTAGGCTGCATCGCGCAAGCAAGCCAGAACTTTCTCACGTTGCGTCAGGATCACACATCTCGCAGGGG